TAAATAAAATAATTTTGTAAATTATAAAATAAGTTTTGTAAATTATTTTATATGATATTTAAATAAAATTAAATTGAGCCCTTGTTAGCCCATTGCCGAATTTGCCTGCGAATGCATACGATATAATAAATTTTGAGCCAAATTATACTATATGGTACATATACTGTGATCAAATTGAAAGGTGAATTTTGTCCATTTCATTTCCTTCAAAGTAATCGACTCCCGCTGCAATACACTAATGCCAATGAATTTTCCAGTCATCATAGCTCTTGGAAAATTCCTCCGTCGCGATGGCCTTCTTCAATTCAGCTTTTATATCCTCAATGAAGTCAAAACGGTGTCCTCGGAGTGGTCATATGAATTTGCCAGAAGTTACACGAAGGTAAATCAGATGAATGCGGTAGTTGCGGCACGATATTAGTTCAAAATGTGACGAAATGATCACGAATAACCAATTGAGTATGAGATATTGCATTATCGCACTTCTTTGTTCAATAAATTCAGACATATGTAGTAAAAATCGAAGAATTCACTTTTAGAGCCTCACAAAACGACGCGTATCTCAAATACTAACCAATATTTTGACGTGAAATCTAGCATAGATGTTACTAATAATACTACCAACTTACGGAAAAAAAATTTACCAATTCGAAAACACCCGAAGTATAAATTAAAAATTGACCTTTCAATTTGATCACAGTAATATGTACATAAGTATAAAGTAAAAAGTCAATGGGTTTTTAAGGTACGAGAGGAAGATCTGAGCCGATTTTATAAATTTTTGATTTTATGCACCATCGTTATCAGGTATATTGCTGAACACATGTTAGAAGTATAAATTGTCAAAAATGTTTGTAAAATTTAGTATACCAATGAACAAGGTACTTTATTATGCAACGAAGTTCATAACACGCAGAATGAAACATCGAAGACCGTATAATATAATATATATGTATTCATAATTGATCAGAATAATGAACTCAGTTCATTAAGTCATGTTCGCGTGTCTGTTTGTACAACTGATTTCCTTTTTGCTCAGTTAAGTGAGATAGTAAATTAATCGTGAATGAAAGTGCGAAGAAATCAGATTATCATATAAAACTCACTATTAGACGTACATACATACATGTAAATCTATCCAAATATTTACGTATGTACATATATGTGGATTACTGTTAAAAGTAATAAGCAAAAAATATTTGGAGTATGTTTAAATAATAATGATAAATTTCAAACTCATTAATCGCTGTGTCTTCTTTGCCTCCACTTCATCACGTATGTAGCTCACGATAGCATTATACTGGTTCATTTAATTGGGCTGAAATCGTGCAGACCGTTCTGTGTTTAGGTCCAAATTAAGGATATAATTTCCTATTTCCGTTGCATTTTCAAACTCGTATTACGATGAAATGTAAAAAAAAAAAGCCTTTTTTACATTATTGAGTCCTATACTTTTGACAATATTGGGCCATTTTTTCAGTTTATTAATTTTGGACGCGTTTTACTCAAAACAATAAAAAAAAATTATCGGAGAACGATGGGGGGGAAGGATTGATTATAATTTGACTAATTTTTCTTGGTTTTTTTATTTTCGCATAATTTCCAGCTGAGTTATGGCAAACACGGCAAAGGCGTTTTTTTTTCCAAGTGTTTCTGGGAAAATATCTGTTACCGGCTTATGCTTCATTATTTCTGCAAGAAAAAAGTATAATATATTGCCAAGAGTATGCTAAATAGTGTACAAAAGGTCCTAATAAAATTACTCAATCTATTTATAAGAAATAAATTAACAAAAACAGGCTTTTTTTTAACTTAAAAATCTTACCCCTGCCCAATGCTTAAAACACTTACAGAAAAGTTGGAAACTATTAATTACGCTATACCCAATACATTCTAGAGAAAAGCGAATTGTTGGACGCTTCGTAGAACTCTGAGTGCCTAAGAATTTCAATAGTGCATTACATTGGTACCCACACAAGCCTAAATATGAACAATATTCCAGAAAGTGGAGTGGCATATGAAGAACATATTCATATTATAAACATACAAATGTGCATTTTTTTATGTTTACCGTAAATAGATAACATGTATGTTGTTATTTAAGTATGAATGACCATGTTCGCAAAAAAAACAAAAGCGATTGTATGGAACAATCTTGCAAAACCGCAATCGAGAAGCATCAACACAAGTGGCACTGAAATAAAACAGGAAAATGGGGAAAAAAGAAAGAAGACGACTTATTCAGTACAGGCCCCATAGTTTATAAAATAAGTCATCATCTTAATTGAGACAGTAAACTGGATGTTGTTGTTGGCATTTTTGTTTTTAGCGTCGCTTTCGTTAACGCTGTTTCGTCCATTGCCATTGCCATCTCACAAGTTCTCAGCCGCTATTGTATTTCCTGTT